TTAATCGTGAGAATAATTATCCATCATGATGTAATGTTTTGTAAGTTGATTACTTTGTCTGGGATTTATAGTTACATTATGATAATGCGTTTTTTTTATCACACGAGCGAATGAATCATTCGTGCATCTACTTTAAATGGGTCAGAGTCTGTTCCATACGAAGGTCTCGTACTTTCACTGCTTCAAACTATTTCAGAAGATTTATCGGCCGATCGTTTCACCTTGTATAAGCGAGAATTCATCGTTTTCCTTATTTCAGCTGGCATTTTCTGACGTCGAATTCCACGCGTTTTACTCGACATAAACTGTAACCCATTAGCGTCAATTAAGATTCTCCGAGCGAGGTCACCCAGCATAGTGAATTTTGCGGTAATAGAAGATTCATGGTATGCAACGTTACGAGAAATGGTCGACGTTCTAGCGGTCGACGTCAACTTCGCATCGATCATTCGTTCGATCATTAACTGTCACCAACTGCGGAGTTCACGATCCCTCTCTGCACCTCGTGTACTTTGAATACAACGTCTGGAATCGCTTTCGGAAAATTCAACATAAATTTCCGATGTAAATGCTACGAAAATCGCTCTAAATGTCGTCATATACACAATGAGCGAACCGAATATTCCTTCCCATCCACGAAAGAAACTCGCAAAGTGCTCTTCCACTTCGACTTCGAATCACAAGTATTTTAAACATTGCACATTTATGAACGCGATTAACGAAATGAACTTCGAAATTATTCCGTTTGCGATTGAGAAAGAACAGCATTAATACGACGCAAATATGATTCTAATTAATGAATGAAAATCAATGACGTAAACGGAAAGCTCTAGGTTAAACCTTTACATTTTCTTTACTTATCGACAGGCTAAAACGAATTTCTTCCACCTCGACTTACATAATTGATGACGAAGATGATTATGTAGACAGTGTGAAAAGTGCCTCGTTGGAAAACACGAGTGTCTTGACGCCTAGAGATCGACAGAGGGATATTAATCGTATCGACAGGAGGATCGATAAAACGGTAATTGTGTTACCACATATATCCTTTGTTAGCAAACGCATCGTAAAACTTTACCTTCCTTGCAATTGTTCCACGTACCATTTTAGACCTCTAGCGCGACATTCAGTGGTAGAAAATTTTGGAATTGTCATGCAAGGCCGTCGAGCGTTTATATGCCAGAAAATTCCGTGATTCAAGAAGGTATTCGTTTCAAAAACCTCATTATTCACGCACGCAGCGACCAGTGTTTTTAATCTCGTTTTTTCTTGTTTTTTCTTCATTTTGTTCTCAATCGTGCATCCTTTCCTAGGTAAATAAAAATTCTTAACGAATTAATCACGATAATCTGCGCTGGATAATAGAGATCGGAAATTTTATCCTGATCCGCAGAGATTCGTCATTGGCGCGACATTGATTACCTCTCGAAACTGAGAACGAGTTTCTAGTTTCGAGGTCGAATATTTCTATATAACTTTTCACTAACCTTAGAAACCGATTGTCGCAGAGAGCGAGCTAATTGGTACGTTGACGAAACAAATATACAAGGTCGAATCTCAGATGCAAAAGGTGCAATCTGATTTCAAGAGAAGCGGAGAGCAATTAAAGTTGAAGGACCAAGAAATTTACCGGCTTAAACGAAAGGTTCTCCGCTCTTTCTTTCCTCTGCTATTGTTTCATTCGGTCATACGAAAATCGACTTTGCAATTGCTATAGATCAAGGAGTGGGAGACTAAGAGCAAAAACCAAGAAATTCAGCGAAAGAAAGATCAGCAACAACGACGAATCCAAGCCGATCATTCGGAGTACCTTTACAGAAGATGTTTGATGCTCGAGCAGAGAATTTTCGAGATGGAGGTTAATCATACATGCACATGGAACACTTTATCCTTGACGTCTCGTGTCATTTATTGCAAAAATTACCTTATCTCTGTTGCTTTTGTAGAAATTCTTAGCCGATTACGGTCTGATCTGGGTCGGCAATACGAACAGCCCGAAGTACCCTGAAACGATCTCCAAGTAAATCGAGTATACGTTACTATTTCAAGCGATCGACACCCGATCGAATTAATGATTAGTTAGCCGTGCCTTTTAGCAACTCCATCGAGACTTGTTACGAGCAGATTATCGCGAACATCGACCAGCTGAACCTGGCCGCCGGGAAAGGTGAAGTTCACGTGCAACATAACGAAAAAGGGAACGGAGCCTCGTTCAAAGTAAACTTCTACTTACGTACAGTGCCTTCAAACATAATCTCATGAGCAGAGATTGATATAAATTACGACACGGTCATACATTTTCCTACAATTTCATCTTTCTTGCATCGCATATTTGAAATGCATACAATTTATACATTGTAAAAGGAAAAAATATTCTAGACATTCATATTGTTTGCCAAGTAGCCTGTTTGCTGTTACGTGTTGTGATGAAACTCTGTTACGTGATGGTTCTTTTTTTGCTGCATTTTGCAAGGCGCTAATAAACGCGTTTCATCCTTACATGCATTCGTAACACGGTATCGATTTTCGCTGTCAATCATTTGTATCGATGAATTCTAATGTAACGTAGGAGACATGTTAATCGAGCAGACCGGTTATCTGCGTGAATAACAATTACAAGCCCGATCATGAAAAATAGGTATGGCTCAACTCCAGCTGATTCAATCACGGTTTTTTACTGTTTATTTTCCTGATGATGTAGAAACTAATCAAGCATTAACGTGTTATCAAACGTTATAACGTTTCATCGACGCGCGATTAATGAATTATTGTTTGATAATTCTTTGAAGACCCACTCTTGCATGTCATTAAAATTCTACAAAAATGGAATGATAGTTCAAGACGGCCTATTACGATCTTACGACGATCCAGTTACGATATCGTTTCTTCGAGATATTTTGGACGGCTACTTCCCTTCTGAGTTGCAAGAGGCTTATCCAGAAGGTGTACCCTTCAAGGTGAAGCTTCGATTCGAATTTCATGAAAGATGGAATGTTACTTTGCGAGATCTTTCGTTAGGTTGAGGATCGCAGGCACCAAGTGTTCTTGAACTCCGTCGGTTTTCCTGGCCAAGGTTATCGCTTGGGAAGAGAATCGTTAGTCGATAGTACATTGATATCGTCTAGATCCCGGAAATGCAACCAGAAATCGGTTCGTCGTGGCCTTCCGAAAGATAATCCATCTAACTATGACTTCTCTTCGCCGCTGATGCCTGCCACATCTAGGTACGAACATTAGATTAAATGAAAAGAATACTTCAGACTATTTGTAATTGATCTTGAATTTTATCAGTAGATCCTCGAGAACGAAAGGTCCTCCAGAAGCTCCTCCTATGGAGATGTACGTCCTCCGCTCTCAAATTTTAGCATCTCACAACAATATCTGTTCCGATACGCATTTACAGTCGCATATCAATGCCGAGCTCGGTCTGAGCAATCGGAAAGAAAAGGTGAACATTTCTAACGTGGTACAAAATCTGGAAAAATTCAATATACGTATGATTCAATTTGAAATTTCTTTCGGAAGCGCGAGGTTGCTAACAGAAACGGGGAACATGATTCACCGATACGCGAAGGAAATCAAAGATCCAAAGGTGTCATGAGATTTCCAAGTTCTGGCAGGTGTTATCACAGTTCTGGTGATAGATCGTCCAAATTATCGCCCAAGTAACGTCAGATTATTTACGATTACGCACGGTCTGCGTATTTTTGTAACATGACTTTTGTTTTAGCCGAATGGAGAACTCTGATGATCGCTACAGACAGCGATCAAGATCTGCCAGCTTGCCGAATTCTCGATACTCCGTTACTTCCAGATCAACTCCGAAAACGAATATCGACAGTTCCTCGTTTCCTAGTCCTCAAACGCAACAGAATACGCAAAAGAAGGCTCAACGTGTTCCAAGATCTGCTGCACCAGTCAGAAAGAATGCAGTGAGGAAACTACAACGCTATTCTTTGAAACTTCTTGGAGTATTTGCTTCATATACTTTCTTATTTTTGCAGCCGCCCATTCTGCATCAAATAAACGAACCGTCTGGGAAACTAGGCGAACTCCGCCTGAAAGTCAGGTCTTTGAATGGTGGTACTGTTTATTTGGTGCACGTATCTGCCGATGAGCCGATAGCTCGACTTTATCAGCTGCTAGATAGAGCTATGTCAAGAACTGTTCCTCGAGGATACAAAATTATTCTAAGCGGGTAAGAATTTATTCGCAACCTTTACTTTATTTAGCACACTCGTGACATTTCGTTTCCCTTAAGATTAATTTGCAGAATATCTATATTTCTTTCTACTTTTTCTCAGCTATTCGCCAAGAAGATTAGAGCAATTGGGGACAACCTTGAGGGAAATTGGTATCACTAGAGACAGCGTTTTGCATTTAGTGAACGATTAAAACTCTAATTTACAATCGACTTTTGTATTTGTATCGTTTAAAAAAAATATTGTAAAAGCATGTTCATGGAAAATGCATATATTACAGAATAGTAGAGAGGTCGATTCTTATCGCGGCATGATAAGTAAGCGCGCAGGGTTTCAAGTTTGCAGTAGTTGATAAAAGAAATTCTCGGTGTTCTTTTTACCAATGCTAGATATAGTGTGCTGCATCGATGCCCAAACTTTTATTGTTCACTCTATGAATATTTAGCACCTGAGAGTGCAGCCATAAATATATGACCGTAAATACAGCGCATCGTAATAGCTTACGGTAATTAACCCCTCGATACCAGCTGTCTCGTACCTTGGAGAATCGTTGATTTATGCTTAGCCTATTGGTCATGCACTTAGGTGCATGCGTTCCTTCCTGAGATGCTCGGTAAATGCCTTTGGAATAATGAAACTTCAAGTCCTCATCCCCGATCATTAGAAAGACAATTTGAAGATCTTAAAGACGATAATCCACGTTCTCCTTTAAATTTTTCTTATCGACTCGATTTTTTTAAATTAATACAGATTGAAATACCTATTATCCCTATGTAAAGACAATTGTTTTCTTTTATCATTGAATTGAATATCAGAAATGTCAAAAATATCAAAACTTTCAAAAATTGGACATAGCATTGTGTCATATATCATTACCTGAGAGTCTCTTGAGAGGGTATATTCCTTGAAATTTAATTGCGAATTCCTAAAGATTGCACTGTTGCTTGACGATACAAAGGGGCTAAGCTGCAACGCGATCTGCAACAGAAAATTTTAAGGAAACGACCGCTGTTCGTGACGTTGATGTCTCATTACTCGCTGTCGATAACGAGACTCGAATCTTTAGAAATATCGATGGCCCCACCGAAGAAGTGGAGGAACTAGTTCCATACGTCGATAATGAAATATTCAGCGGTCACATTGCAAACTTTTCTATGTGTTCGTCGTGGAAAAGGATTTTTACTCGTTACTCGTTGAATCTAACGAAAGCTGAAGCATCGGGAGAATTTTTGCCAACAACATCGTTGTAATGAGACAACAACGAATTCCGTACAACTGTATGCTTCAAAAGTGGTATTTCGTGACGATAAGGTTACCTTGTAATGTTGCCGTGAAATGTAATCCTTCGTAGAGGTATATTCCCACATAATGGAATATATTATCAGCATTTAGTCGTTCATATGATAAATTCTAATGTATTTATACAGTTTTCTTGTCGCTAGAGTTTTCACTTCATCCTTGTGTTTGTTTCATTATTTGAACTACTTTTTTGATATCCTTGTGCTACTCATTTATGTTCCTTTTGTATTACTAAGATATCGATTACACGTTACTGATACTTCTTTTATTCCTCGATGATGACAATACGTATGTATTAAACAAAGAATTCTCCTAACTACAATTAAATTGAACGAGAGTCAGAGATTGTATCATGACTAGAAGTTATATAGCGATATAATTAGTAATTTTATATCAAATAATATAGATTACTAAATTCTCACCGTGTAGATGTTGCTGCGAATGGAGACCCACCCTAACCACGCCTCATCCATTCCTCTTTTACGTAACACTTGGCTCATTTTGAAATAAATCTTCCTTTTAATGCATGTTTGCAAAATTTTCTATCGTTGGTCCTTGTGGAGAGCAAATATCAAATGGAACTTCAAGAAAAATCGACACGAACATTTAAACCTAAAAGTGAAATATCAATTAATCTTATATAACGAGATGTGACAAGTATTTATATTTTCTTTAAATCATTTTGTTTAATTATCGTTAGATGACTGTATTTTGTCGCCAACTAATTGAAACCCTCTCAAATAATTTATGACACAATTACACATAGACTAAATATATAAGGATTATCGAGAGTATAAATATTCAACTATCTACGTAAGTGCATGTTTCAATATTTTGCATTTTAATTAGCGTGTAAATATAAAATAGGTGATAATTTAAATGTAAATTTTATCTGTATTTCGATAATGAACGTAATTCGATTACGTGAAGTAATACAGCACGAATCTAGTAAACAAAAGCTATTGCTTAATAGCTATTGTTTACCTTGTTCATATTTCAAATCCATTCCACCTAAAGTTCTGATGTGTCCTGTCTGAAGTCTGAATTGCAAATGAGCCCGAGAGGCAGCTGCCACAGCCTTTATATAAGCAGTGGCCGGCATTTAGCGGAGAGCTGACGAAAAGTCACGACCGTTCCCGATTCTACTAATAATTATTTTAGTATTATAATAGCCAATAATTTATTATTTTAGTACTATAATAGCCAATAATTTATTATTTTTAGTCTTAATGATAGCCAATGATTTCTTAATTGTTTGCCATTAAAAATGTATGGTCTGGGCAATTTGTTGCTAACAATAGGTTTAATAATTTTAATAATTTAGTTTAATAATTTAATAATTTAAAATATTTATGTATAGCTGGTTCAATTATTCTTGTTACATTTTTTAAGGTAAGAATAATCACATAATCAAAAATAAAATTACGTATATAATAAGAAAAGTTTCCCTGTACGCATGCGTAGCGTCTCATATTCGCACATGCGCATAACTATATAGTCCCGTTCGTTTTCCCGCGTTTTCGTGAGTGTCTCCCGGAAAACTTTGAGGAAAAGAAAGTGAAAGTGAATTAGTGGGAACAGAAAATAACATACCGATACCAAAATGAAGTCAGGGATGAAGACGAATATCCAGTGGGCAGTCAATTTTATCTCGCAGAAGATCTTCAAATGGTGAGTCTAATCTTTTATTACGTCGCAGGATGTTCCTTCTATTACGTCGTAGGACGTTCCATTACGTCGTAGGACGAATAGTTCGACACATACTTGACAATCCGTATTTTATCATTTGTATCACTTTTGTAGCCAACATTATAATCACGAATGTTATCGTACACTATACATATTATTATAGCACTTTCTTGTCACGTTCATATAACACTAAATTATAACTTCCAAATAAGTGACTTTCACGATGTTAATTCTTTACGAAGACCTATATTCCGATACGTCAGCTTTAATAATACTTCAGCTCAAATTTATTCGTTCCCCCATATGCAAACGAAACGTTATACATATTCGAACTCGACTCGAGAAACATAATGAGATCAAAATTGAAATGGACGTCGCGTCGTATCGTGTAATACTGTGATTAACAGTTCCGGCGATAAAAATTTGTTATTGAGGTTAAGTTCCGATCAATCGATGCCAATGCGTGCAAACTGAATAGGTATCGCAGGATTCTATATACATATATAATTCATCTGCGTTTATAAGGTACCGTGTGGTATATTTCATTCGCGACTTCGTAAAGTTAGTACCGATTCCACTCACTACTGGCGTGGTAGTCCTATTCCGAGCCGGATCGGTAACGTCGGAAATGACACTGAAATGGTAAATGACTCGAAAACCTCGCGGCGTAAAAAGAAATAATTCATTGGATAATACACCTATCCTATATCTCGTATGTGGTTATACACTCGATAGTAATGACCGATAAACGTTTAAAACGCATTAACGGTAACAAAAACTGCTGATCAATGGTCTCGGTCGTTGCTCGTATTTCACCGGACGATAACGCGGCAGTTTCCCGGAAAGTCTCGATTACCGGCTGCAACGGGAACAACGAGGATAGGTTCATCGGCTAGCACTCTTCAGTGGGAGAGATTAAAGTCGTGAAAGTGTCTCGTTTCTTCCGACTACGTGGCGGCGTAGACAGAAAAGTAGAGGCTAGCTCTTAAACGTCCCGCTCATTTCGCGCGATTCAGGCTTCTTCGCTGTCCCTTTTCCTTCCTGGGGACCACGAAAAAAGGAAGATAGCCTCGTGGGGTAAATGCCGGAGAGATAACGGCCGACGTAAAAAGTCAGGGCGATACGTTACGCTCGATTTACTTGACCTACGGTAGGTAGCGCGCTTTCAGAAACATGGATATTTTTTATATTTCGTAATGGGTCCGGCTAGAGATAAGCACTGTTAAGTGGAGCCTATCTCTGGGATGAAGAACGGTCGAGGCGAAACGCGGTCATGAAAATCGTTGCTTTTCGTTTCGGCAATTTATTATCGCTTCGTTTCGAGTTAGTGCGCGACGAAAGTGCCGTTCGCTTCTTCGCGGTTAGGCTCGACGAAGCTCAACGAAGCACAGGTAGATTCGAAGAGGGATAAAGAGATCCGACTAAGCTCGAATTACGCTCGAGAAAGGAGAAATTAAATTTAAAGGGGGAGTAATGACCTTAATTTCCGAGTTTGAGCGAAACCGTGGTGTCGAAGTTTTTAATCATTCCACCCCTTGTTTCCGCTCGACGTTGTATTCTTCTTTAATTAAGAGGCGTTCGATGAAATCGCTGAATAACCTGGCCGAACTCGACCTTCTCGACCTCGTCGATATCGGAGGCAAAAGGCGAGAGTGGTTCCTCTGCTGCCTGTCATTTTTATCGATAATTCCATCAATTCGCGGCCAAACGGTACTCCTGGAACTGTCATCGCAGCCCACGGCGATCCATCACGAGCAACGAGGGACCGCGTTTGTCAATCAACATGCAAATCGAAAGTCCCCGCCACCCTTGGGGAGTCTTTAAATTTAATCAGCCGGAATTTTCCCGGCGCATTATCTCCGTCCCGTTCATGTTGATTACTACAACGTTTTCGAGAGACGGTTGGGTCTCCGGGGTCGAAACTTGTACTCGTGCAGTCTGATTAAACGCCTCGAAAGGAGCTCTCCGCGATGATTCTCGACAAGGATTCAGTCCGTTCCACCGTCTGGGATGGGAGAAAATGGCAATCGGATTTCAGTGGAGCACACTTGGCTCACCGACGGAGATTGGACGGCGTGCAGGATATCTGACACAAAAATCTGACGCTTTTGTACCTTCGAGTGCGTACCGATGGATAGCCACGCGCGCGTGCAGCGATAATAAATCATCGGCCGGCGTCTAATTGTAAAAAATGACGGAACACGG